TCTTGTTTATGGTAGGCTTAATGTCCATTTATATCTTACTTGTGTGAATAAAATCAATACCTACTACATAGATAATGACATGTTCATATCTTATCTATGCAAGTAATGCACAAAATCTATTAACTTCAACATAAAGAATAGGGATTAAATTGCCCAAATTATTAAATTTAGAAACTTATTTGTTTTAATAGAAATATTTATGAATTTAATTGAGAATCCGAGAAAGTTTAGAAATTTAATGTAAGATTTTACCTAATTAATAGAATAATTAATATTTATTAATTAATAAATTAAAATTAATTAACTGATATTTTTAAATACTTATTAAAAAAAACTAGAATTTCAGTCAGCATAACAATGTTGACTATGGCACTAACGCAACCCACGTTATGCTGACTATGGCACTAACGCAACCCATCCGTCTCAAATTTTACTCTTTTTTCTCTGCAATTAGGATGGGTCTGTGTACGGTGCAGTCAGTAATAGCCGTTGGATGATCTTTGATAAAGGGTCAAGTGGATGGTGATTTATGAAGGGTCTTTTTGAGCCAGACAACATCAATCAGATCACCAAACCAAACAGTTTCTTTGGGTTAATCAGACACAGCATTCATCATTTTTCTTCCATTCAATATTCAGTTTTTCTTTCAACCCCATAAAAGAACAGGAATTTCCTCATCTGGGTTCCTTAGAAAATTCCCATTTGTAGTTTCCATATCTTAACTATCCTGGGAAGCTAACAGGAATCATGACATGGTTAAGTAAAAGAAAGAGAGCTAATGCCTAAATGGGGTACTGTCTCCTGCTTCATAGGATAGAGGAAAAGGGCAAAATTTTTCAGAAATCCTACCATGGCGGCTCCACCAATCTCTTATGTTCCTGCACAAGCAAGCAACACCGCACTGTACAAATACATTACTTGATTGATTGCGTTCAGATCAACTTTACTTGATGTTTTTGGTAATTTGAGGGACCCCAGGCCCCAACAAGGAACAAGAAAGTCAACCATAGTTTCAGCAATTTTATTATTACTATTATTATATTAATCTTTATTGGAGGCTTAGGCCAAGGCACGGCAAGCAAAGTTGAAGGGAATCAGGCCAGGAGGGCATGTTGCAGCCGCAGACGCTGTATAAAATAATCAGAGTTCACAGAATGCAATGAAAAGATGATTGGATGTGGAATTACTTAATGGCTGCACTTCTCTTCAGTTCTGCCTCGGTTCCAAGTCATCAGAGTTCAGGAACTTTAGCACCTGGCTGGCTTCATTGACTAGGGTTGCCTTATATCAAGAATCACTTTTACAGGAAATTCAAGAGGGAGATGCAGAATTTGAAGAAACATACAGAGGATGTGGGGGAAAAGATGATCATAAGTCTCCCTGGTCCCTGCATATATGTCATTCTTGCAGTTTCATTACTGTTTTGGGAATTGAAGGAGGCCAATTTCCATTGATCATAGAAGATGTATTAAAGTAAAATTTTCCCCTTATCCAATGTTTCCTGTTTTGGTTTGCAATCAATACCCCTCAAGTCTTCTCTAGATGAAATTCAAAGTACCAACATGGGAATTGGTAGGTGGAATATCAGTAGAAATCACAGTATGATATTGTGTGGTAAAGAGTATTTAATTGAATCATCTCCATCCTCATAGGACCCACCAAGGTACCATCCGATCTGCCCTTGACATCACCATTCACCACACAATGAATTAGATTGGAATGCTATAGTCTATACTTCTCAAAACGGTGGCCTTGAAGTGCTATCAAATCAAACCCTTCCGACAATGGAGAAGGCAGGATAGCGAAGTATAAGAACAAATGAACAAAGATATGATAATAGAACAATCAAAATAGCTTTATGCAAATGTACAAAAAAAAAAAAAAAAAAAATTATGCAATCAGCAATTCATAATTTCTGGATCTCTTATAGACTATTACTACATTGTATCATGATGGGGTGGACCAAGGTGATATAATACAGGCTATATATAGCAGTTAGATATGAGATTAAACAGGCATACCCCCTGTTGATAATATCTGCAGCATCTGATGATTGTCAAAAGATTACCTAGATCCCATGTAAAAAAGTCACTTTACTTTGAAGCTAAACAAGTCAGGCCTCAATAGGTCTTTTCATCCCAACTGATGGTTTTCTTGATTCCGATCCAATCTCATTTTGCTGCCTCCACTCGTTTGTACATTCTTGCTCCTCCTGTGCCTCATGTTCAGCATCTGTTTGACAATTTTTTAGTTATTAGAGAGAATATGTCATACAAGAATACTTCTATGGTATTAAATGCAGCATATTTAACAATCTCTAAAGAAAATCCAGCTAAAACAATAGAAGATATCATATACCTGAAACTGTTGAGAGAGACATTGCAGTTAGGCGCCTAACACAATCCTTTAGCGCTTGAAGTTCAGCTTCCTTTTCATGTAGTTTGGATTGAGCCAAATGCAAATCAGATTCCAGCTCCACAATTTGGCTCCCCTGCTGTTCAATGAGCAAATGGCACAGTTTCTGATTCAGTTCAGATGGCAACACTCCACCATATGGGTAAGCATCACTACTCTGTCCCCCTGTTTCATTCGACTTTTCAGGCCCAACTTCACTCTGCACAACATTTCTTCAGTCAAATTGATAAAAGGAGATATGTTATGTAAGAAAGATGCATAGTTTTAAAGCTGAAAGACTATAAATCTAATTCATTATGTCCACCACATGCATCAAATTTATTAGCACATAGGATGATCATTGCACAATACTTTCAATGACAGACTTTGAGTAGCAAAATAACTAATAGATTTCACCCATCATTAATGAGATAAACCAAGTGCAAGAGAGGTTTAATTCATAATCATTAAATACAACCAGTTTATGCTTAAATATGAAACTGATGGCTAATCATTCAGGACAATTCTTTTTTCTTTTTTTTTTTCAATTACCATGATTAATAACATAGTGGCACCTGAAATGTTTTCCAAATCAGAGATATCAAACAGTGTCAATGGCATAGCTAGACCATAGAGATGGCACCCCTTATTCTGAAGATAATATCGCATGAGTCTCTATCTAAAATATTGATGGATACATGATACAACACTAAGAGGATGCACCTTCAAACAGGAAACAAATTTACAGAAAGGACAGGAAGATTATTTAAAAACCCACCTCATTAAGTTTTTGCAGTTCAGCCTCAAGCTCTGCCTCCAGTTGAGTCATTTGACTCATTTCCACATCCTCTGGCCCCTGTTCTGGCTCTTCTGTAAGAACACTACTAGCACATTCACCATCATCAACTGATGTGAGACCCAACAATATGTTATTATTAGGATCTTTGTTAAATGCTAACTGGGTATGCTGCCTGCTAACTTTCTTTGAGCTTGTGGTGACTACATCTGCAGGATTTGAAGCCACAAGATTCTCAGATGATTTTCTTTTACATAACTCAGTTTTTAATTCCTGAACAACTTTTGCAGTCTCGTCTATGGCTGAATTCAGCTTACTGATCTCTGCATTCCCAGCTGACATCATGTACATGATACCAACACCAACTCCCCAACCAAAGGCAGACCTACCTGAAGAGCATAATAGTAAGTAAATAGAAGTTTCAAAATGATTCTGAAAGCTCTAAACATCATTCAATATACGCACTTCTAAATAGTGACTGCAACACTCATCAAATGCAAACTGACAGTTAAAATGGCTGCAGGTACACTGAAAGGAAGGGACTCTTTTTGAGCAATTGGTTTGATTTATGTTTGAAACTTATGAGAGGCACTAAAAATTCTAGAATAGACTAATTAAGCTTTAAGATAAGCATGATCAGGATAATTTAATGGTTACAAGAAAATAATACACATTAACTATAAAAAGAAATAACTACAGAAGACATCTTGACAAGGAAACATGATAGTTGTGGAGCCACCTTTCTTTTTCAATAAAATTGTATCTTAACCACTTTTTATTATTTCAAGAGTGGAATTTCTTTAACGTAATTTTTAATCAGTATCATCAAAGCAAACCCCACCAGCAGCCCACTTTTTCCTGATGACAATGAAGGGGTCATCAGAAAAATAATTGCTTCAAAGCTGCTTCTAAAATCCATGTATCTGAGGTTTATGGTTTAGCACCATTAATTTTGACTTGGAAAGGAAATGACATAAGGTCTTTCCTGCAGCATAATGTCACTAACTTGCTTAAATATTGCTCCATGTTACTCATTATATCCTTTTAAAAGTCACAGCAAAAAATTAATACTGTTACAGCTTAATTGATTTGACAACAAATAGAGGCCAGCATATCCAAAACTCATATCAAATTTAGAAACTGCATATGAATCATTATCAAACATGTCTAGGAATGGAAAAGTTTCAATCAACAAAATAATGTGAATCAAAGAAATATTTATGTAAACAGTTATGTCAACAATTGATCAAGTAATTTCAAATGATTTGCGAGTATGAAGCATTTTGAGGAAGCACATCAAAGAATTAAGATCAACTATGGTTTTCATTCTACTATTTTCCTGATTTGGTGATGAAATCCTAAATAAATCAAACGAAGAAATTCACATGCTGCAAACCTTTGCTGGTATCCCAGCTATTCCTCACAATCTCAAAATCAAAATCTTGATAAAATCATTAACATTACCTCTAGAAGAACAGGACACGCAGTTATAAGTAGCATTCTTGGCCGTTCTCCTCCTCTTCAAGCAAACAGCAAATCTCCTTCTACACACCACTACAGCCCCAGATCTCTTCTCGTCCTTCTTCGAAACCTTCTTTCCTAAACTCCTCCTCCCCATTCGAAAACCAGTTTTGCCACCAGACCCAGAACTGGAAAACCTAAAGATCCCATCTTGCTTTTGTTTCTCGTACTCGCTCTCATACCCAGGCTCCACAAAACGACTCTGACCCGGAAAAGACGAGCATTTCACATTATCAAAAGAATCTCGCTGTCCAACTCCTTCATCTGGCTCATCGTCACAGATTGAGGTTTGATGCGAAATGGGGTTATGCGCATGTGGGTTGAAGAGGTGCCTAGCTAGGAAACCGGTGGATCCAGCTACTGCTGCACCCAAGAGAAGTTGCCACATTGAAATCAAGGGAGAAGAAAAGATTTGGATTTTGTTAGAGAGACGGATAATCCAAGAGATGGAGAGAGCATTGAAGAGATCACAGAGTAGAGAGGGAACAATCAAGAGTGTTAGGTGAGCATTTGGAAAATTGGCTCTGACAGTCACATGTTTCCCGCTTTGATCTCATTTCCAAAATTGCACGGATACCGCTCGGGCCTATGGAAGGCAGGTTAAAGAATTTTCTACTTTTTAAAAAAGTTTGAATTATTGAGAGGAGAGATGATTACCAAAATGGTTGATAAAAAGGATTTTGTTGTTTAAATTATATTAAATTATAAGATATTAATTTTTATAAGTAATTATGAGTACTTATGGTGTGAATTAGGTCGAATTTTAATATTTTTAAAATTAAATTAATTTAATTGATTAGTAAAAGTTTCATATTAATTTAACTTATTATTATATCATAATTAATTTAATTTAATTTAAATTAGATTGATATGATTTAGTCAAATTTATCAGTTTTTAATATTATTTTAAATATATTTAATTAAATAAAAAGTAAAAGTTTCATATTAATTT